ACCGGTATAACTGTATAGCATAGATATATCCATCCCCAGTTAGTACTGTACAATAGCAGTAAAATATTTAGACAAGATGCTATGAATGTTCAGTTCCAGTTTTGATCGTTTTTACATAATACTGAGCATTTACCAGATTAACTCTATGAGTAGCTTAGTAGACTCCTTGGGGGTGATTTACTAAAGGCAAATAGGCTGTTCACTTTACAGGGGAATTTTTCCTTAGCTTAGTGAATGTGATGAAAATGTACCTTGCAAAGAATACCTAATCACGTGTAAAGAAAATTTAAAAAAAACAGTATTTTTTCTTGCACATGATTGGATGATGAGAGTCAGCATAGGTTCACCTCATTCATTAAGATATGGGAAAATTCTTTTGCAAAGTGAAAAGTGAAGTTTTGCCTTTAGTAAACCATCCCCATTGAATAGAAAGTGAAGGTGTGGAGGCTGATTTAACTAAGGGAGTTGGGAATTCTTAACATGATAAATTGTGTAAATATTCATTGTATTGATCCAGCTGTGTGAAAAGCACATTCCTGTTTATTTATTTTATCTGCACATGATTGAAAAATCAAAGTGGAGATAAATTCTCAACTCTATCAGTAAATCAGCCCAATTGTACAGCTAGTTGCTTGCTTGATACCATCATTTTACTTAAGTAACACATATATGGTATTTCCATCACCCTTCTTTTCATGTGTCATTACACTAATCCGTTCGTGCGTGTACTGCGTGCACATTAGATTATCAATGTTTGACTTATTATTATTACAAAGTGTTTCACTCTTTCAAGTATATCTAAAGCCGAAATTTTGTGGAAGTGTAAAAGCGCGGTGAATTTTTTATTGCTGAATAAAAGGAGGTTTGGGGCACTAGACCGCTGTTTCTAAAAACCCAGGTTTAGTGACTAGAAGATCTACATATCAGACACCTCTGCAAGGAGTAAGGGCTGTGGTATGTCTTATCTAGACTGGTGTGTGGTGAGGAAAGAGCCAAACTCGTTTATTAGACTGCAACCTAAACTGGCGTTTGCAGCAGATCCTTTAACATGAATCTTTTTCCTCAGTAAGATGAGTCCACAGAGATCACTCCATATTGCTCAAAATCTAGTATCTCTTCCTGAAGAAATTTTCAACCCTGATGAAGGGAGGCCTTTCGAGCCCTGGAAAACTGATTTACTGGACTTTACAAAGTGTTGCACTTTCCTCATCACACACCAGGTTTTTTTTTGTTGTCTGTGTATCTTTGTGGAAGATTCACCCTCTTTATCTTTCTTTTGTCTCCAAGACAGAAAGTAATGGGAAATCCAACATTTTGCAGCTGTCACTGGAACAGGAGATGAGGGGAAATCTTCCAAAAGGGACACTTGTTCCAGTGACAACTGTCTAAGTTGGAATTCATCCACTTCCTCCTGTGTTATTCCTTGAACAGGAAGTGAAAAGAAACATCCCAAAGCGAAACAGACAGCAAAAAAAATAAAAAATTAACAGTGGTTTTAACCATTCCCTATATTATTCAAAACAAAATAAGGAGTGCCTTAAGTTATCCATGAATACTGCTAGCTTCTGGCTGCCAATATATGTGAGATTTTCTAAAGTGTTTGTGAAGGAGAGCAGAGCCATAACAGGTGATAAAAAAAATCCATGAGAAAAAAATACAGATTCATTACAAATAAAAGCCTTCAGCAGTTTAATAGACATTTAAAAAGAAAAATTACAACTCCACACTTAAGCATTTATTTGTATGTGAACGTAATTTTATGGTGAGAAAAACTGATACACACCAGTACATACATATTAGTAAATTGCCCCCTTAGCCTTCTTGACTCTAATAGAAAAATGACAGTTGGCATCTGGTTTTTATGATCAACACCTCAGACCCTAATTTGCTGGTTTAACATGTCAGTATAGCGTGACAGATGTAGAAACAACAAAAGCTAATCAAACTCCATTTGTCATTGTTCTGAGGAAGACTAGAACAAAAATACTAATCCTTCTTAGAATTCCCTCAAGAGCAATGCACAGTAATAGGTGGAATCATGTAAGCAATGGACAGGATTACAGCATTTTTCTTTCCTGAATCAATAAAAGAGTAACTAAGAGTGTTATGTTCTAATTAAAGTTGAAATCTAGGCAGATATAACATCAAGTATGCTGTCTGTCCAAAAAAAGACACACTCTAACATTTTTTCGGACCGCTTTTAACATTGATTATGTCACACATTTGTCATGACAACATTTTGATAAGCGTTTGCAATGTCACAACATTTATTTCCATCCAGAGTTGCATTAAAGGGTAATTCCACTTTCCCAGATGAATTTGGGAAAATGGAATTACCCCCTCCAATCTGGCCTCCTCTTTCCCATCAGCTATCTCCCCATTCACACCTACTACATTACCACATGCGCTGTATGCGCATGCAACAGTGTGAATCAGCAACAGTATGCCTCCATGCCCTTTGTATATTGCCATTACAGGGTAAGAAGTTCAGGTTGTGGTAGATATACTGTAGGTGTGACAGGCTCATTACTGACCATGCACAAAACATGTTTAATCTCCTATAAATCTATCAACAACTTAGGAAGAGCAGTGGTGGTCAGCTTACAAGGTACAGAGGTCCTCAACCATGGCCCCTGACATCACCAAGTGGCCACACATAATAATATATATATGTGTATATATATAGCTACTGAGAAATGTAAGAGACTTGGACATCTTCTGAAAAATGGTCAAATACTGCGGATGTGCTACAGCAGTGGTTGCAGCCTAGAGACAGGCTGCAATCAACAGTTAGGGACAGGAAACATGTTGCTTCAGATTGCTAGAGCCTACTGCCATGACAGCCCCTTTACAAACCATTTAGGGAACTTCTACGGGACCCGGGACCATGGCAATAATTTCAGAATGGAGATCGGAGAGCAAACCGGAGAATGTCTGTTCTCCGATCTGGTCTGTGATCAGTGACACAGGAGCACTGTATTCACAGGACTTCCTGTGTCAGCTGTCACAACCTGAGCTGTACAGAAGATAGAGCACAATGCTGTGCCGGATTTTCTATACTGGAGGGCAGGCTCATAAAGAGAGCCTGTCACCCCTGAATGACATCACATAGGGGCTTGTTATTCCATGTGTGATATCAATAAAGTTAAGTTTAAAAAAGTGATAAAAAAAATGCAAAATAATAAAATAAAAAAGGTTAAAAAAAGTTATACAAATGTAAAAACAATACTAAATTAAATAAAAATTTAAAAAAGTTATAAAAAGGTAAAGAAAAAAAAGTGATAAAAAGTGATGTCCCTTTAAACCCTCGCAGTCCGCCCACCGTAAAATTACGGGCAGATGGCGGATCCTTCCTGGCGGGGTCACGTAAATGTACGTTTTTTTTTCTGCTAGCGGGCGCGCACGAGCAGAAACCTGCCGGGAAGGATAACAGCCATTACCGGCTGTCTCATACAAGCATGTCGCATACAAGCACTTGTATAACCCTAAAATGTGTGTTACCTATGGGGTCCATAGGTAACATTAGGGGTCTTGGGGACCCCTGATGTTTCCATTAAGAGGACCTGTCGTTTTTCTCTAGCTTTTTAGCCCCCAATGTGATAGCAATCAAGTTAAGTGTAAAAGATAAGTTTAAAAAAAATAAAAGTTAAAAAAAGTTTTAAAAAGAAATAAATTAAAGTCTCATATTAAAAAAGAAAACAAAACACCCCAAAAAGTTTTAAGGCCCCCGCACGCACGCACTTATACACGTGGGGCGCGCCTATGTGCAAAAACAACGATTGTGTCGCACATGTAACATATCGCCGCAAGAGCAATAATTCTAGGCCCATCAATTACTGAAAACACTAAACTGATGAGCGGTAAAAGCTTTTAAAGCGTCGCCTATGGCCAATTTTAGGCATGGTAGTTTTTTGCGATTTTGTGGGCGCACGCAATTTTAAAGCTTGACATGTTTGGTGTCTATTTACCCGACTTGACCCCGTCTTTTATATTTTACCAAAAATAATACATGTTTTTTAACATAACGTAGGGGAAACATTTTTTTTCCAAAAGTTATGGTCCTTTTTTCGTTATATAGTAAAAAATAAAACCCCCAGTGGTGATTAAATACCACCAAAAGAAAGCTCTATCTGTCCATAAAAATTGGTATAAAATTAATTTCAGTACAGCGTTGCATGACGGAATACATGTCGGTCAAAGTACTGCAGTGCTAAATACTGAAAAATTGTCTGGGCAGGAAGGCGGTTTAACACCCCGGTCAGCAAGTGGTTAAGAAAAAGTATTAATAATTGGTATCGGCAAGTACCAGAGCGAAAGTACTTGGTCTTGAAAAAAATGGTGTCGGGACATCCCTAATTTATCCTATTACCACTACTAACTGTTCAAAGACCACTCAAAAAGTACTAAAGGACCACATGTGGCCCATGGGCCACAGATTAGGCACCAGGGATGTACATAAAGGCCAAATCAATTGGATATGCATTGAATGGATTGATTAGGTTGACCCTCATATTACATAGTTTTGGTAAATCTAAAGGAGATTGTTCATAGATTCTACGATCATAGTATTAACTGTATGGCCATTTCAAATGGGCACCAAACTGCTCTTCAGAATAATGCCCTTACAAATGCCATGGTGGTATTAAAGGCAGGGGTTATGCATCACTTTTCAGAAAATGTACAAAATACAAAAACAGAAAAAGAAGGCAGCATATATCCAATTTTTACCAGCTAATGTTCAGCAAAATGACAGGTGCACTTTTTAAAGAATATGATCTTGTACTATTACCATTATCACAGTCCCTTCAACATTTATCCAAATACCTCTGTATATGTTTACATTTCAGACAGACATGTTTCTTTCAGTGTGAATGCCTAAGAAATACAGAATGGTTATTCAATGAAATTAGAGTTTTGCTTTTGGCTAACGTTGCTACCACATTTGACATGTGTGTTTTTTAGTGGTCTAGAGAGTCAATAAGCTTTTCTTCTTGGTCCAGCTCTCACCAGCAGCACAGCAAATGCAGCCCTCTCAGACAATACAGCCCCCTCAGCCGACGGGAGGCCGACGCAGGCGGGTGGTGGATGAGGATCCAGACGAGAGGCGGCGAAAGTTTCTGGAAAGGAACCGAGCAGCTGCCACACGGTGCAGACAGAAAAGGAAGGTCTGGGTGATATCACTGGAAAAGAAAGCAGAGGAACTCACCCAGACAAACATGCAGCTTCAGGTGTGTACTGTACAGCTTCACAAAGCCACTGTTTATAGTCCAGCATTTTCTCTTCACGTCCATCATACACAACCAAGGCACATTACATTAATAACCAAAACACAGACATAATCTGCTCTCGCAGATGACTGAGGTCCTTCTTGTGTAAACACTTCGTGTCAAAGGATGCCAAAGGACTTGAGCATGCACTTGCTTCAAAGAAATCTTTACAAAGCAAGTCCCTGTATCTTGTTCAAGATATAGTGCTGGTTTCATTTTTAGCACTTAAAAAAAAAACTGTGATTGTACATGCAGCAGTTCACCAATTAGATATTAAACTGTGTTTACTCCAACTTTGGAATATGTCTACAATAGCACTATAAAATCCGCCCAGGTAGCAGCCATGTTGATTTACTATCTGCAGTTTCCATTTATAGGTCTGACTCTATGCATCAAATTCTCTGCAGAGGTGTTTGTTGAAGAAGTATTGGGAGGGTAAAATATACTCTTCCCAATACTTAGAGCCTGTATGGGCTCTACAGAACGAGAAGTGAGCGATCATGAACCATGGATCCTTAAAGTGACATTAAACCCTCAGATTTTTTAACATAAACCAATACTGTAATGTGTGCCTTACTATAATCCATGGTTGTTTCCCTTCTCTTTGCTGCTCTTCCTTTTAAATCCTCATGTCTTCTCATGCCCTGCAGAACTCTCCTTTGCAGCTCAGGGCCTCTTCCTGTAGTGCTGGCTCAGGTTACAAGCCTATAGAAACTAATACACAGACACCGTGTATCCATTCCTGAGACAAGGCAGTCTGCTGCAAAACAGAAGTTCTGCAGAGCACGAGAACAGATACAGATTTTAAAAGGAAGAGCAGCAAAAAGAAGGGAAACAACCATGGATTACAGTAAGGCACACATTACAGTATTGTTTTATGTTAAAAAATCTGAGGGTTTAATGTCACTTTAAGCTCACGGTCTTCTTCTCTGTTCTGCCAGCTCTCATTGGAGGGACAGAAGGGGAGGGGACGGGCACAGCAGGCTCTGGCTCTAGAGAGGCAGAGTTAGCTGTCAGTCAGGCATCTGCGTGGATCACAACAAAATTTGGGCAGCACAGTGGCATCGTGGTTAGCGCTTTTGCCCTGTAGCACTGGGGGTCCCTGGTTCGAATCTCAGCAAGGTCACTATCTACATGTTCTCCCTGTGCTTCTGTGGGTTTCCTCCTGTTACTACTCTTGTTTCCTCCCACACTCCAAAGACATGCTGGAAGGTTAATTGGGAGATAGGGACCTTAGATTGTAAGCTCCTTGAAGGCAGGGGCTGGTGTGAATGTGTAAATTATTGACAATATAGCAATAGTAATACAAATTGTTGACAATCTTCTCAGCTGCAGGGCAGCTCTGCACTGTCAGCATATAGTGGGTATTAGCCCACTAGATGCAGACTTTGGGTCACAGCACTACATTAGTGAATGCACTTCTGTGACCCAAAAGAAAGTAGACCCAAAAAAAGTTTGGCCATATTTCTCTTTTAATTCTGCATTGTCTCAGTCTACTTTACAACATTGACAATTTAAGATTTATTAAATCCATTTCATGTTGGTCTGTTGTCTAAGTGTTTATTTTTAAGTCATATATACTTAATACAAGTTAAACTTTATTTCACCCCAAAACAAAGTGATATATATTTCAGCTTACCAGTCCTTATCAAGCTAAATATATTTTCTGCAAGTATAGAAAATACCTGTTGATCTTGCCATAAATCTGGAGTCCTTGTAAATTCATGTGCTCCAAAACAATGTTATCAGCTTTTCCAGCCATCTTTTGTGGACTACAAAACAAATTTCTCTATGTGCCTGTAGCACTAATCAGGAGAGGAGTCTAGGGTGACAACGCAGCTCCTCAATAGATACAGTGCAGCGAGTGAGTGTTGTCACCCTAGAAAGTTTGTTGCTAGTAGACCCATTAGGTATTGAGTCGAATCACGCAGGACCCGACGTGTGGGGTGATTATTGGGGGAATATTGGGGGATTCCCGGGATACAAAGCAAAGTGTGTAGGCCATGTGTTATGTCCTTTGAATCCACAGACAGAGCCTGGCCGCAGAACGGCCTCTGGTCTGCCAGTCAAAGAGAAGAACACCAGCTTGCAAAGGTCCTGGGAGGTGGAGACCTGAGGGGCAAGGGATGAGCATTTAGCCTCACCCCACCACCACCACCACGTGTCTTTTGTTCAGGGGAGGACGCTCGCTTTGGTGGGAATCCGAAGATGTGTACTGGGGCATGGGCAACTTGTGTCCAGACCCCTGCTGTCAAGTGTCCAGTACCCTGCTGTCAAGAGCACAGCAGGGCTCCTGTGCTCTGAAGACTGCTTGCTGTAAAAGACAGGAGGACAGGGGGAGGGGGGTCCTAGAGGGAGAGCACTGTGGGTCTCCTCTGTGTAAAGCCAAGAAGATTTGCAGATGACCCCTTTGATCTGCTGGCTCTGTGCCAGAGATCAAAGCCCAGGCTGCTGTAGCCAGTAGGGGAGGCTGGAAGCCAGGACGGGGGAACCCACAAGGAGCTGGGGAGGATTTGGAAGCAGAAAGAGGGGCTCAGGGCTGCAAGGAGGTCCCTTTTCCACAGGTACCAATAAAAAAATAGGAGTAAAGGAGAAAACTAACGCACCCAGCACATCTAAAGCCCATGACACTCTGCACGCAAAGCTGTGCAGAGCGAAGCAAGGCTGTCCGGCATGGAGCTTTGCATGCAGTGTGTGAGCTGAGTGCAGTGCATGTTTATATGCGCAAGCCGATTGGCTGCAGATTACATTTTTCATCTCGGCACGCTCAGCTATGCAAGCTCTTGCAAGCTGACGTTTTGGGGGGAAAATTACATGACACACTGCTCGCTCCACGATGCTTCGCATGCAGTGTGTCGCAGCCTTTATGCAGCCAGAACTGGTAAGCTGCAATATAGTAAAAAAAAAATGTTGGGAGTTTAGATACACTTTAAATGTTATTGAAACATGATAACTTAGTATATACAGTATGACAATGTGTGTGTGCGTATATATATGTATATATATATATATATATATATATATACACACACATATATATACACACCACAGTATATATATAAATTGGTGTTTTGGCTTTTTGGTAATTTATATAAATTGTTGAGCTTTTTGCTTTAATACAATGTCAATCAAGCAGGCTGTAAATAAGGTTTGTTGAAACTTAAATGGCAGGCTGCAGAGGGGGACACTACGAGTCTGATGCACAGTATCACAATATACAGTATACTGATATACAGTATACAAAGTATGGTAAAAGTAACATTTGTTGTTGCCCATTGCCATTTCCTTGATTTGTTTTAAAACTGTCAAAATGACACTGAAACTGGAACTAATTGGTTGCTACAGGCAACAAGAAATTATAGCTTTACTAGGCTTTTTATACAGTACATTGAGGGGAATTTACTAAGACTGGAGCAGATAAAATCTGGAGCAGCAGTGTTTGGCAACCAATCAGCTTCTAGCTTAGATGAACAAGTTAGAAGCTGATTGGTTACAATGCACAACTGCATCAGATTCTGTCTGCTCTAGTTTTAGTAAATTTCCCCCATTGCTCCCTCATTCTTTAAAGAGATTGTGTAACCAAGTTAACCAATTGCAGGTACAATCACCGAAAAATCGTGTATTGTTAATGCTTGCTTGTAGCATTTTTAATTTGACTTTTTATTCATTTGCAATGTTCCCTTGAACTTGGTAGAAAACTTGACATTTCCAAGAAGAGTCAATTCTCTACCACATTCCCCTCCCTCCTTGAACATCATAGACCTCTCCTCTTCTGGGAGTGTCTAATTACTGTCTGGAGTAGCCCAGCTCATCCGCCTCTTCCTTCTCCTCCTTACATAACCTTTTATGTAGCTGTGGCGATGAGAGGAGGCGAGTGACTTAAAAGGGAGTGACTTGAAAGGTCTGCTGGGGCTACTGACTCACATTCAAGATGGTGGTCCCCAGCAGCAATCTCAGGTCTTTTGGATGTCTACAAAGGAGAGGCTTTTAAAGGTAAATAACATGTACACTGAGTGGCCAGTTTATTATGACCACCTGACTATTGTATGCAAATTAGCTACACATTTCGTGCTGAAGTTGCTAGAGGGCCAGACCATTATAAATAGGGAAGCAGGTTGTTTACCACGACAGTAGAAGTGATTTTTTCTGAAGATATGGGTAAACAACGCGATTTAACAGCCTTTGAACGTGGGATGATTGTTGGCACTTGGAGCCATGGAGCGAGTATCAATAAAACAGCAGAATTCGTTAAATGTTCAAGAGGGGCTCATTGGTAAAGTGTTTAAAGACTGGACTGTCAGCCGAAAATCTGGGTCTGAACGTGCGAATTGTGGCCCTCAGCGACTAGTCAATGTTAGGGCAGAATGGAGAATGGCAAGACTGGTACAAGACAACAGAAGGGCAACAGTGCAGTGTCAGATTCCTCGTATCACCTTTCAACATCTCGTGGAGTCACGAGGCGGCCCAACGAAGTCATCTCATGGAGTTATCTCATGGCCCAACGAAGTACTGATGGGGTGGTCATAATAATCTGGCCACTCAGTGTATACATTACATTAAATACACATAAAATTATGGCAAGAGTTTAGTTGAAATGCATGGTCTGCTGACAGGGTCTCTTTAAGGCAAAGCAGAATAAAGAGTGAGACAGTATGATTTACTTTTGTACTGCATGTATGGTAATGTGATTCTGTATATGTATATGAGAGGTGTATACAGTAACTGCATGTAATGTATGATAGATAGATAGATAGATAGATAGATAGATAGATAGATAGATAGATAATGCATAGATAGATAGATAGATAGATAGATAGATAGATAGATAATGCATAGATAGATAGATAGATAGATAGATAATGCATAGATAGATAGATAGATAGATAGATAGATAATGCATAGATAGATAGATAGATAGATAGATAGATAGATAGATAGATAGATAATGCATAGATAGATAGATAGATAGATAGATAGATAGATAGATAGATAAATAATGCATAGATAGATAGATAGATAGATAGATAGATAGATAGATAGATAGATAATGCATAGATAGATAGATAGATAGATAGATAGATAGATAGATAGATAATGCATAGATAGATAGATAGATAGATAGATAGATAGATAGATAGATAGATAATGCATAGATAGATAGATAGATAGATAGATAGATAGATAGATAGATAATGCATAGATAGATAGATAGATAGATAGATAGATAGATAGATAGATAGATAATGCATAGATAGATAGATAGATAGATAGATAGATAGATAGATAGATAATGCATAGATAGATAGATAGATAGATAGATAGATAGATAGATAGATAATGCATAGATAGATAGATAGATAGATAGATAGATAGATAGGTGTTGTTCTGTGTGCTACAATGTTTTATCAGCTTCTATGCCAATAATCATATAATAGAAATAGTAAGTAGATAGATAGATAGCATTCACAATCAGCATAATTTCCAGAGAAAAGTCCCCCCACTCAATAGGGTCAGATTACTATGATTCTAACCATAAGGTGCACGTTTATCTCCCATGTCACTTAGAAGTGTATGGTAAATGCACACAAATCTTGAAAACGACTTCAAAACCAAATGGGCCTGAGGTTATATATGTACATGTGCATATGCATCCTATTACAGGACACTTGGTTTCAATTCACACATGGGCAAGTTTAGAGATGCTTTAGCTTTATTTAAAAGGTTATAATGTCACAGTTTATGCAGAGGTTAGAAATACAGGCCATGAAAGAATATATGTCAGCACTGTGCCCCAAGGTAAGATACTATCTCCCCCTCTTTTATATTTAAGTGCTAAAGTGGAAAGGTTAAGAATATTAACAATTGCCATATGCACCTGAAAGATGTCAAGCTACGTGAAACCGATTGCTTAAGAGAACGCTCATTCACCCAAGTAGGGGCAGCACGGAACAAAAATAGCTTTACATTCTAGAGCAGTGGTTCTCCACATTTGTCCTTGGTCATTAAGTCATGACCCAAGTCGCACTGCAAAGGAATGCACAGCATTGCGGTACCGTGCATTCAGGTGCAGGCAATCGAACTGTGGGTGGGAGGTTCGTTTGGGGTGCCATTCAAATGAATGGCAATGCAACACACCTGCCACCCCAGAACACGTGGTAGGTCCACCAAGTCTCCCTACCTTACAAGAACTGGAGTGGATCTTCAGCCTGGGGTCCAGTTTGGGCTGCTGTGATGTAGCTCCATTCATATGTGCATCGCTTGTATAGCTCCCTTGTGCACCTTGTAGCGGTGCCGGGAGCCAGAATGTGATGTCACTCTGGTCCAGGCACCTCTATAGGACACATGTAAGCAATGCACATATGGATGGAACTCCCTCGTGGCCATAGCCCCATCCCATCCCACCTGAAGCTGACACCCGGCATATTTTGTATGGCCACTTGGCGAGAGAACTGACAGTGCTGCACTAGGGGGAGGCTGAGGAGCCTCTCACCTAGAAAAGTGGAAGATATGCAGCGACCCACTTTTGGGTCACGACCCACCAGTTGAGAACCAAGGTTCTAGAGCATCTTCTTTTTTGAAGTGTATATTATTTATAATGGTTGTGGGATTTTTTAATACTATTTTGTGTAGAAAAATATATTTTTTATAAAGGGGGACTATGTGGCAACTGTTTCACATGCTAGTAGATTTTTGATTCTCTGCACTAGGTTGTGTCATCCAGACACCCCTGCCTGACTGCAACCACCACTGCAGCTGTATGTTGCAGAACACCCTTCAAACATGCTGATTGGATAATGTTAACAAAGCAGCACAGTGATGCATCTTCACTGGGCTCTTCCCCGCTGTCAGCACGTTGTCTGCCAGTCTATGTGCACTGCAGCAGAGGCTTACTGTGCCAGCAAGATCAAATGTGGGCAGTGTCTGCACATAACCTGTTCTCTTCAAAAGTAGCCTTTCTGAACCAGGGTACCCTGGGGTGCCTTCTGGCTTTGTCAGGGGTACCTTCTAATGTTTGCTGATGGGAAGGTGTGGGGCTCCTGATGGGAAGGTGTGGGGCTCCTGATGTGAAAGAGGAAACTCCATGTCGACTTTTTTTTCTTTTTTGCTTGGGGTCCACTCTTAAAATCTGTACCAGACCCCTGTCTATGGTCTAGGCCCCTCATAAGGCTTTGGTTTCGATTTTTCAAAGTGGACCACTTCTCGTTTTTTTTACATTAACATTTTTTGCATTTTAGATTCGGTTGCCTTGAGATTTTCCTTCCTTTAAAAGGTGCCATGGCTGAAAAAAAGGTTGAGAAACGCTGTTCTATGGTATTTAACCTCCCTGGCGGTATGATTATGCAGGATTTTAGCATGCCAAAGCGGTACATTGTTTTTCATGCCAATTTGTTGTTTTATATTGTAGGCCTGTAATTCTTAGTAAATCTTCGGAATTAGAAACCGAAAGCCGAATGCCGGCATCGGCCAGGCGCACACAGCAGAGGACACCGCGGGCTTGCAGGGACAAGGTAAGTGACACTCGGGAATACCGCCAGGGAGGTTAAAGAATTGTAAACCCAAATATTGTCTTCAGACCACAAGTTGGTATGTTGACCTGCTCTCTTACAAACCTTTCTCTGGGTCCATCATGTTAACGAAAGATCTCACTGACCAACTGTGATATGAGGACAGAAGGAAGCAGCAGGTCAAAGCACAGACAGCAATGTATGTAAAAATACTGTTTTTTCATTTTCCTTGCTCGTGATTGGGTATTCTCTGCAATGTGAAATTTCCCCACATTCACTAAGCTAAGGGAAACTTCCCTTGCTAGGTGAACAGACTATTTGCCTTTAGTAAATCAACCCTATTTACAGAAACTGCAACAAAGCTGTGTATAGCATTTATAAACTGTATGTTAGAGTGTGGGCCTGAACAACCTGTGACAAGCATATAGTACATCATCAGAAGCAGGTAGAGCTCATTAACTAGAATATGATGCTGCTTTTATCATTTTAGGTCTCTTCCAAGGCTAAGGATAAAAAAAGCAGCCTTGAATTTTAATAAATGCTTTCTACCTTTCAAAACCTGATATTATCTCACATTCTGGCAAATTACATGTGTTCTAGTTAGCAAGTTTTAAAAACAATAATTATCTAGACTCCCGTTGAATATGAATTTGTAAGTAATTCTATTGTTTAACTGTCTTGGGTTGTAATTTAAGACATAGACTGTATTAGCCTAATTAACATGTTGTAGCATGAAAAACTGTGGTTAACTGTAACTGAAGATTGGGACTCTTGAAAATAGTCTTGAAATATTTATTATTGGTTAAAAACAGGTTAATTTCGTAGGCCAACATGGTGAAGTCAAGGTATTTCAGGTGATTGTCTGAAAACAAGGCAAAACAGTTTAATTGCTGGATATCTGTCTTGTAAAAATTGGTAAATGTGCAAATAAAGGGTAGTCACCTGAGTGTCGGAAGCTGTAGTTTCACTGTTCAGGTGTTTGACAGCATCCTGAATATTAATGTGGTTTCCATTGTATTGATGAAAGTCTTCTTGGGTTCTCTTTCAGAATGAGGTCTCCATGTTGAAAAATGAGGTAGCACAACTAAAACAGCTTTTGCTTACACATAAAGATTGTCCAATAACTGCCATGCAGAAAGAGTCACAAGGATACTTGAGTAAGTACATTATCTTACTATAATATTTATAGTTTATATGTGTTCTTTAAACACCTATAGCTATTTAATGTTGTTATACAGGGGTGCCTTTACAGCACCGGAGCTTTTTCCATTAAAGAAACAGAATTAGAAGAGTGTCTGGGTTGAACATAACAATACAAAAAAATACAAAAAAGATCCCTAGCACACTTTCAGCATAGCCAGCAACAAAAACAAACTAATCTGTTCAACTACTCAGGTTAAAAATAGATGTTTTAGTTACTTACATCTGCAAATATATGGGGAAACATACTGCCGCATCAAGGCACCTCTAATAAGTGTGGTCCCTAACTCTACACTATCTGAGTCTCCCAACTATGGGACATATATAGCAGTGTACAAACAGAGAGCTGGCTCTACTGGAGGAAGCCCCACCTAAAAGACACAGCTATAAGTTAGTGCATTTTGCATGTAGTTATTTGGTTTGTTAAATAAGTTTAAAGTGACACTAAACTCAGGAGTTAAATATTAAACATGCATTCAAGTATCCTGACCATTAACAAAAATGTATCATATTTGTGTACCAGTCGGCTGTAGATCCTCAAATCATCTCTGAATTGGTGCTCACACTGTCCTTCCTTCTGGAGGGTGGCTACTTTTGTTCCCCATGGCCCCTGTGAGTGTTGTAAAGTAGCCACTGCTCCAAGCTCACTCCTGTGATGGACTACAATCTCAGTACAAGCTTTTAGTCCATCACAGAAGTCAGCTTGGAGCAGCGGCTACTGTACAACACACACGGAACATGGGGAACAAAAGTAGCCACCCTCCAGAAGGAAGGACAGTTTTAGCACCAATTCAGAGATGATTTGAGGATCTACAGCCGAGAGATACACAAATAAGATACATTTTTGTTAATAGCTAAAGTAGTCCACCACTCCAAGCTGACTCCTGTGATGGACTAAAATCTTGTATTGAGATCGTAGTCCATCACTGGAGTGCACTTGGAGCGATGGCTACTTTACAACACTCACAGGGGCCATGGTGAACAAAAGTAGCCACCCTCCAGAAGGAAGGACAGTGTCAGCATCAATTCAGGGTTGATTTGAGGATCTACAGCCAAGTGATACACAAATAAGATACATTTTTGTTAATAGTCAGGGTACTTGAATGCATTTTTAAGGTTTAACTCCTGAGTTTAGTTCACTTTAGGTATGTTTTGGAACAGACATTACACTAAGAGATAGACATACAATGTAATTCACAGTTTGTTTAAATAAAGTACCCTGGGCCCACAATCAGAATACACTACTATAAGCCAGCTCTATTCAGAATTAGTTAAAGGCGCACTCCTATGAAGGAGTGCTAACTAACACTTGTTAGTACTCCTACAAAAAGACATTTATTAATGTAAGAATATCTAGTCTTTTAGCACAGACATTTTACAAAAAATAATAATGGATAATACACTTTAATCTGAAAAATGATTCAATGCAATTCTAACCACAACCTTAATTGGATAACATTTCACTCTAACCCTTTCACATATATTAATACCTAAAATTAATCCGTGGCCTAAAGTAAATGTAGACTGTTTTAACCCTAGACCTAACATAAGCCTTAGCCAAGCAATTGCAGCTAACCATAAATCTATTTTAAGCTACCTACAGTACCAATTGTTAACAGAATTGTGATTTACCCCCATACATTTTAACTATACAGTTGCCCTTTTGTCTGACTTGACCAAACAGTGCAAAAAGTCTTAAGACATTAAAATGTATGAAACCCCCCCCAAAAACTATTATATTTCAACTTCAGTCCTTCGGTCCTTAGATGTGTTGGTTGCATCAGTTTTCTTTTTTTCAGACTCTTTCCCTTTATTTTCATCGGGTAATCCTATGAAAAACACACTTCTTGTCTCTGAGTGGCTACACTCACTACTCTACTGTATCTATGGAGGGAGCCATGGTTGCCACCCAGATTTAATGTCATTATAGATTATCTCTATTACAAATTAGGTGATAAGAAAAGTAGTTTTGATTGTTTTGTTTTTGCTTCCAAAAAGTAACAAAGAAGCTGCATTCCGGGCAAGATCAACAGATATTTTCTGTACTTGCTGAAAATGTTCTTAGCCTGAAAATAAAAAGTAATGCAGGCACCACATTTAAGGACTAGGGATGAGCTTGGGTTCGGACCAAGCCCAAGTTCATCAGAACCCAGAAGGAAACTGTCAGTTTTTGCCCGATCAGATGTGGCGAGGGCATTACCCACCCCGAAGCTGCATGTAAAAAAAGTGGCGGGATGCTGTGACATCAATGATCTTAAAGGGCCAAATGGCTATATTAGTTCAGTGATATTCACCTAATATGGCTATGCTGTCATATAATGTCAACCACTTCACCTGCATCCCGCCCCTTTGTTTACATGCAGCTGCTGGACAGGGAATGCCCTGGCCTGCAACTGATTGGACCTGCACTAACAGCTTCCTTCCCGGGTTGGATGAGCATGGGTTCACTCTAAAGCAGAGGTCATCCCAACTAATGGCTGGCAAGTTGCAATATATTCAATTTTTGTTCTTGAGTTTATTAATGCTTTAAGTAGCAGCTGCTTTTTACCCTGCACTGGGCCCAGCATTTCTGTGACACAGCTCAATTTTTATTGACTTCACCTCTGTCTGCATGTATTATATTGGGCAAAAAGAACATATGTCCACCATAAGTGCTAATGTAATTAATATAACTACAAATTCTGGGAATACTACTACCAACACAACTCCATATTTACATATTCTAGTGGATGTCATACAAGCTGCTAGTACTTAGGTGGACAATGCTTCATGCAGAAAAATCTGTGCTCTGCCTTACCCACTGGTGATCCTTTTCCTATCTGATGTCTATACAAACATGTGTTATAAGATGATCCTACACCTTGTACAACACAGTTTACTGAAATTCATTCATAGCCTTGCTCTTGTTAAATAATATTGTTTGCATTACATTTGAAGAAAGCCAGCCTTCCTGTAGAAGCAATGGAAATCCTTTGGTCTTTATTTAGTAATGCAAAGAGCAATGAAAAGGTGGATACAACTTGCATTGATTAAAATAAATTGCTAAAAGCTCATAGTTGCTTTGTTCTGTGCATTGCATTTTGACTTATCAAACATAGACTTTTGTCTTAAAATGATTGTATAAAGCAGCATATTCATGTTAGTTAATAAGAATTCAAATTCTTTAATCTGCTTTCCTGCTTCCCTGTGCAAGAATGTCAAAGCATGACATCATAAACAGGTGTCTAACCGCTCATACATTGCGCTCCCTCTGTCTCTTGTATAACGTTTTGTATGAATTTACCATCATACACATGTGGACAAATACGTTTTTCTTTATCTGCTTCTTGGAAACATGTTCTTGGTTATTAACAGTTACAAAGAGTTCTTTAAAGGGAATGTATAGTGTTTTTTTACATATATATTTCTATTTTAATTTGTAGTTCAGTGCTAATACATACAAAGTAGTTTGTTTTTGTAATCGGGTTAATAAGAAATATTCAATGGGTGTTTAATTTTTACTACTTGCATCCGGCTATTGTTAAGCTCCAGACTAAAGTACAAATTGCTATGGGTTGTTTATATATCTGTGCCATGCAATCAGTTGAAAAGATCCCTTCCTTTCGGCCAAATCTGTTATACAGAGGCTGGCGGCAAGCATGTAGGCAGTGCTGGAGTTTCTCATGAGAAAGCCCAACATCCTCTCCAAAACTGTGTGTCATGATACACACTGTATAAAATGTTTGTATTAAAAATTAATAAAATATTTTCATATAAAAGATCAAATAAAAAAACTAAAAAGCATTATACATTCCCTTTAAACTTTGTCTATAAACACTGCTTTCTAGATGTAAAATGTTTTTTCATTTGGAAAGTGGTGTCTATTTCTGCAGTGTAGATTTACATAGATGCTTTGAAGACCTCCACTAGACATATTGCTATGTAAAACACATGCCACATAACATAATAGTTAATCCAACATTAATAATACTACCCTTTCTGTTTATATAGTCAGCAGACTTCTACACACGCAAGGACTTTATTTTGTTCCTGTGTGTTTTCGCATTCCCCTTATGTTATAGCTGATAACTTTTGAACTAGCAAAAGTCATGATGTTATAGGCCAGGGGTAGGCAACCTAGGCATTCCTGCTGTTGAACTACAAGGCATTGAAAGACTCTGACAGCCACAGCCATGACTCTAGATGCAGAGGCATGATGGAATTTGGAATTTCAGCACAGTTGAAGTACCAAGGTTGCCTACCCCTCTGATAGAGTCATTATGTCTGATAGCACATATAGAAATGGCAGTTTGAGATTTGGAGGAGACTCTAGTCACCATGTGACTATGTAAACCTTCCTATTCCTGAGTTTTAAAATGTGGCCCATTAGCAAGAAAGTCTTTGTATAATAGGTAAACCCTTTATTATCCATACACCATAGTCTTAAACAGACTTAAACATCAAAGCAGTGCTTAAGTTTACCTTTGTGTAAATAAAGGGATAAAGTAGATATTAACATAATCACGTAAATCTCATATAAGCTGTAACTTGTTTATGTAATTCCAAAAGCTGTTATCAGTCTTTTTAAATCTGCAGCTTTTACTAATGTCTAGTCATCCTGCTATGAAGGTCCTTGTTTAGGCACTTCCTTTTATGGTGTGACAACTGTCTCCCAATTGTATACCTGTGTTATTACTCTGTCACATGATGGAGACTACAGATGGCTGTGTCAACACACGTTGTGGGGCATAGTTCACTGCTGTCACTATGATGTTCAGCTGATGCTAGATTAAATGGATGTAGACAAGAAGGACCTGAAAAAGACGGGAGGAGATCAGCGGCTGCAAAAAAGGATATTCTAGGAGCATACATGGCGTTTATGATATGAAACAAAATATGGATGGATTTCTAATTAGCGCTGGAAGCCTGGAAATAATGTAAATTTACATAATATGCAAAACCACTGTTCTTCTAAAGGACACTCATCCATATTCAATAGATTTGTCCAAAGATTAGTCTACTGCAGTTACATCAAGAATGGCATTCAAACCTACTTGAGGCACAACTTTGCCAGATGTTGTCTGTGTCCATGGCAAACAACCCATGATATACTATGTACTCTACTTGTCAGGGTGAATGGCCTTTTTGTTGTTCCAGTTTGGTGATGTATGGATGTGTCCAGAGGCAGAAGGGTGAATTTGCAAAGAAAAGTTTGTAGTTTCAAGTCAACCTCTTTAATGTTTTTTTTCATAAATGTAACATCAGGAAAATATATACTAAACCCTATGTTATGTTTCTGTTGTGGAATACATTCTTAAGTTGCAAATATGTTTGAATGTTGACTGTTCCTGCTTGCAGCTAACCCTTGGCTCTTCATGCATAAAACACAGTTTTTTAAAAGCTCAAGGAACTGAACATTCCAGCATACCATGACTTGTTATTCCATGACACAGAGCCAAAGGTTTCCAATATTCAGACTAAGAAAGTGTTTTATATAATGGCATACTAGCTCTATAATAAGCTAAAATGTTGCATTATTATCCCTTCATACTGCGTGGTTTCTCAGCATTTACACATACAAAAATACAATACCTTTACAACACAAAGTCAATTACATTTTCTTTTTCTAAACCTGGCTTATATGATGTCATCTTTGGACTTCTTGCAAGAATTATTTTAAGCCAACATCACAGTGCAGGAGAGCTGCTTAAAGCATTTAAAATGAATTTTCCATTTTATGCAGGATGAGTACCGCTACTCAAAAGCTGCCCAGTTCATGGTAAGTTGAGTTTCATTTAAAGATATAGCAATTCATTTTCAAGTCATTGGTCTTCTTGTTTTACTATCTAAGGCCTGGCTTGGTAGTAAGATACCACAAGCTGTGCCGTGGGTAGGGGAATTACCTGGGGGGAGCTAATTGTAAACTTTATGTAAACTTTAAATGAACCTGTATTTTGCCTAAGCAGGGCAAAGCAACTCATTTACCTATCTTCCCCCTCCTTAGCAGCACATACTATCCTAGCCATTGGGAGTATGGTATACAGGTGGCTCACTTCCCTTTCTCAAAATGAATAACACTTCACTACATGCAAAATAGATGTATTTCTTTTCCATGAGGCATATACAGCCAAGTAGGCACAGTTATTGCAGCCCAGGAGATGCAAATTAGAAAATGTGGCTTTATAGATATGCCAACAACAAGATCAGCTACACAGAATGATGGCAACCTGAAAATTAAGTGGACTGCTGCTGATAGAAATAATATTTAAAATTTAAAACAACATCTGTTATTTTATTCAAAAGGGTAAGAATGGTCACTAAAGGTTCAAGTTAAAGGGGTTTTCCACTTTTCAAAAAAATCGCACCCATTATTTTGGTACATATGCTGCTAATTGTTGATCCATTTCAGAGTAACAGCATTCATTCAAGAATTATTTGTAGTCTACCTTACTAGACTACCTGCAACATTACTTCACTGTCACAATTGGTGTCTATTGAAAGTTTATCTACAATGGATAAAGTGTAGAAGAGTTAGCAACCCTATCAATGTTTTATTGCTGTTTGTGTCCCCACAAGATCAACCCCTCTATTTGTTCTGGTAACCATTGTCACCGGTACTGCAAAATCAAGAAGTGTACCAACAAGGACACTTTTTGCCCTGACAAATAAAGATTTTGCTCCCTTTGGAGAGACTTCCTGTCATTTCTTGTAGTGTCTGTGTGACAGGAAGTGAAGAAAAAATCTATTCTAATGCCGATCTAAATCTATCTATTCCCTACACTATGAAAATTGAAAAAAAAAATATTTTGATTTTAGATATACTTTAAATATTAAGTGTAAAATGTCTTTTGTCATTTTCCAGAAATTTTACAACATGTCAATTTTAAGAAATAAATTCTCCTCTGTAGGATGGATGGATAGATGGATGATACAGTAGATAGATAGATAGATAGATAGATAGATAATGGATAGATAGATAGATAGATAGATAGATAGATAGATAGATAGATAGATAGATAGATAGATGTTGTTCTGTGTGCTACAATGTTTTATCAGCTTCTATGCCAATAATCATATAATAGAAATAGTAAGGTCTCTGTCACTGTAAATGGTTATCTGTAAATAAAATGTTTATAATTATAGACATAAAACATATCTAATTGCTCTGACAGTGTTCAATCATAATGCAGGTGTACGCTGGATATAATAAGCAGTTGAGAGGTGTTATTGTAGGTTGTGTAGTGCAGCATGTAGCTTATTATACATCATGTAACACCTCCTATGATTAAGTACGGCAGTTTAAAAAAGAAACCTGATGCAGCTTTAGAAGTCTCTCACGTAACCGCCCATTAATTTACCCAGCAGTTATTACCATTGAATACACCATTTATAATATCCTTGTTTATCAGCATGGTGTTGTGTTTCACATCAGCTAGCAATATTTATTTTAGGAATAATTTGTAGATCCGTAAAAGTTGTAGTTGCAAGTTGATGGGAACATTTACAGAGACATTTAAAGCATTTCAGATACATATCACAGCTAAACATATTTAAGAAAATATTTCTTTTTTTTGAGGGGAGAGAAATGTGTAAATAGTAAATACTCTCTTAGACATTGTCATTGCCACAAGTTTCTCAATTAGTGACTTCCCCTCTATACCTGTTCAACTGACAACTTAGAAGTTTGTGATTTTTCCCTTACGTTCGGTCCCAGTGACAATGGTTATTAGGACAATTTAGAAAGGGTGACTCTCCGCTGTGAGGACAAAGAGCAATAAAAATGAACAGGGTTGATAAACGGTTCCTACTCTATACAACACCAAATACAAATAATCGCTTAAGATACACTTTAATAACATGTATTAATGTCTTGAGTCAGAGGGTTTATGTTTAGTTATAGTGGCATTTTAGGCTAAATCTTTCAAATGATTTCCTTAATCCAGTTTTCTAGTACTAATAGCACAATCACTGCCTTTTTCAACCTAAAAAATTCATTGTGAAGCTGCATGTTTCTGCTATTGACAAATTACAATGAGAGGGAACCACTCTTCTTTTATCACGGGAAATGTTAAGTAAACAAACAGATGTAGCAGACAGCAGCAAATAGCAAGTTAGATGACAGGGGGCACGTTTATGTCTTTTTATGGGTCAGCTGTATTTTGCAACATAACGGCAGTTAGAGAACAATACCTATATTTGCTGTCCTCTCACTATAGAGTAGGACAGCTTTATTAAAATGTAATTCTCTTGGGGTGGCTAAAAGAAGGAGCCACAATTGGATCCTAACAAAAAAAGAAGTGGTCACAAAAAGAAAAGAGAATCCTCGCTTGAAAAAATCTTCTACTACATTTAATACTCACTGTATTGAATAACATACCAACTAATTAAAGTTATTTCCCTTAAAAACTTGCTATGAGGACTTAGGTCAGGACCCACTAATGTCTTAAAGCTACCTTGTAAAAAAACAGACAGTTACTGAATTAATAGGTATAACTCCTTTTGACCCCCCCAGATCTTGTGTCTTCTTTTGTTTTAGGAATCATAGAGAACTTTTCATCTCTACATCTATCCAGGCAGGATAAGACAAGCTCAGCATTAGGCTGCTAATGTGTAATCTGTTAATTATTTTCCAGAGTTTGTAAAACAGCCCAGGTGGTGCTTCCTGCTATTGTAAACATGTGTAAGAATGATCCTGTAACGCTAAAATCTGACACATAGATTGTTATGGAAGAATATGCGATCTGGAAAATTATTGGAAAGCAACTGAGCTAACAATTTAATTAGTAGACTACGCCATGCGTAGGCTTTGATATAGGGAGGTGATTTCATCTTTGGGTGTCTATAGTCTTTACCTGGCCATGTAGATCTTTTAATGGGCATTTTGGGATGGGTATCGGTAACTGGGACTGGATTTGACAAAGTATAATTGAGATCGATTAGAGCAAGATGAGATTCCCATTAGAGATGGTCTAGGTATATCAAGATGTATATGAGCTCCACGGCCACCCTGAATAGATGCTGCAAGGAACTTACTGCCCATGTAGCCTTGAAAATACATGAGATTCAACTGTCAAAATGCAAGTCTGCTGTCTTCATGATCTAGTGTAGCAGCAAAAATGGAAATTGAGATGATGCTAGTATGTTTAATAGTTGAAAAATTACAGGATTTACTCTCTTTAAAAAGTATAAATGCTTTTTGTATTCAATATTTTAGCTGATTACAAAACATTATGCTAATGTCATCCTCAGGTCCCGAAAACAGCCCGCCTGAGAGTCCGGTTCCTGCCTGTTCCCAGCAGCAAGTCATTCAGCATAACACCATCACAACTTCCTCTTCCATCAGTGATATGGTTGGAAGCTCCTCTCTCAACCCTCTTGCCAACCACAGAACAGACCTAAACACGATTCTCTGAAACAATGGGTTCAAAAACTGCCTTCGGGAGTTTGGTATTAAATCAGATCTTCCATTTTTACAAACATTTTCTCAACTTTATTTCAATCCTGGAAGTCTCTTCAGTCATTGAAAGACCTTGCCTTTCTTTTTTTATAGTATTCCTTCAAACTGTGTCTTCTTTTTTTCCTTATAAGAAAAGGGATTTATGCAAATACTATGCTAGCAGTTTTGGGAAACGTGTGACGCTTTCTCGGTATTCTGGTACATTGCGTTACTTTGTGAACTGAAGCATTTATGTACATAGTAACATTTCGGATTTGGTTTCTTTTTCAACAGTCTTCAAAGTGGCCTGAATCTTTTTTTTTCCCCTTTTTTTTGTGTTATCATTTATGGAAATAGGGTGATAGCCATTTCTGCTCAAAGACCAGATTTAGGTGCTTGCACTTGGACATTAAATGTAGTGTTGTTGAATTTTTTTACATTACTACCTGTTACATTTCTAGTGTATTTCTTTTTGCCATTTTAAATCAACAAACCAGTTTTATAATACACAAGTCATGTTCCAATGCTTAAGGACTGTTATAAATATTTGTACATTTAGTAAGCTCTAATGCCATTATTCCTAATCAAATGCCATCTCTTGACAGTTTTTTGTGAAACTTGTGTGTTATAAAAGATAACCATATTCTGTTAATTATTATACTAATATGTTGCATTCTAATCTCCACAAACTGTATCTAAATCAATTGGCTGCCAAGTGCCTCTTTAAAGGGTTTCTTCATCAAACTTAGTGGTCCTCAACCCATGGCTCCTAAGCCACATGTGGCTATGAGATATTTCTTATTCTGTTCGCAACAATGTCTTTTTAGGTGCTCAGTATCTTCTGGGTTGCACACCTGATGCATTATATGATTCACATAAGCATAATTTTAAACATATATTACTTAATTTATATAGATTCATTAACACTCAAAACATTATTATTAACATATTTTAATAAATGTGTTTCAATGCTGGCTTATCACACTTGATGTGATTAACACATTTATTTAGGTTTTGGACCTCTGATCTGGCTTTCCATGCTTTCAGCTATGTTGCTTCTTAAAGCTGTAGAATTTTCTCTTTTGATGACCATCTTCATGCTGCAAATGTCAAAAAAAAACTCACTCCTACCTTAAGAACTAGTATGGCAATCTCAGAAAATCTACAGACCAGTAAGAAAGAGAAATGTAACTATGCTGTAGCTGTACTTTAGATCTAAGAGTAGGCTTACCTAAAAAAATTAAATCTTGATGAAGAAACCCTTTAAAGTCCCAGAACATCTGAATTCTAGTGGTCCTTAAGTAGGTAAAAAGTGATTGTTTCTTCACTACCTCCTGAAGCATCAACAGAAATACAGCTTCCCCTCATCTACTACTGCCACATGAAACACCCTACCCATATTTGTCTTCCTCCATCCATAGTTAGTAGTTGGAGGAATTAATGCAGTAGCATAGGTCAAACTCACTATTTCCTTATTTCAGAATATAGACAGTGATAGGGAAATTCATTGGGTTTCATTTACCAAAATGTCTGAAATAACCACCCTTTAACCACCCAAGAGGAACCAATTAGCTTTTTTATTTCATATGCCAACCACCACTGTAAAAATGATTGTAAGAAGTTTATCGGATGCAATGTTTTTAATTGCAGAGTTTTTCACTAAAGGGAACCATTTAACATTGTCAAGAAAGAAACACATGACACTCTTTCCTTGATGAATGAAAATAACTGAGTGCAAATCATGCCATATACAAACTCCTTCTCATCATATGTTGACAAGTATCGTGGGCAATGTAACAAACAGGTGCAGTCAGCATTATTACATTATTTTTGTGTTATTGTGTCTCTGGACTCAATGTAGTCATACCAGAATCAAATGCAGACATCCCTGCCTTTTGGAAAAAGCACGGGTTTACATTTCTCTTTGGTACCAAATAAATATAATAATGCTGCCTGTAAAACTATGACTGCATACTGCTGTTAGAAATATTAACCAAAAGATAGCAACTTTTGAAAAACCTATTGTATGTGTAAACTGTTATAGAAACTTCCAAACCCCAAATCAGGTCTGAGCATGCACTGTACTTTTATTAATTTAACCCAGTCAACCAAAACCAATGTACAGGCCTTTTTTTTATACATTATATATATAAATATATATATATATACATATATATTTTTGAGCAAGCATTTACTTTGGAATTGTTTAGTCCAATGCTTTCTTTTTTATTGCTTTTCTACATTTTATGGGAAATCAGATAGCCTTTTATAAAAATGGAACAAATATATATTAGTACACCATGTGTAAAAAAAAATCTATATCTTTAAAATGCCCCAGGGTGCTAATTTAGTTAGATTTTTTCTTTTTTATGGACAGAACATAAGTGAAATTATATGAACATAAGCACTAAAGGTAACACAAGAATGGCATTTTTATGTTACCATTGATTGGAATCAAGCTTTATGGTTTGGTTCTGTTTCCTCTGTTGAAACATAGTTGTATTTTTTTCATTTTTTCCCCTTCTTTTTTAACCAGCAGAAAAAATAAGGCTCAGCTGTTCTACGGTCATCTGAATTTTCTCAGTTTTGTAGCTTGACAGATTGACATGTGTATACATTGTGGCTAAGGCTTGTCTGTTTTTTATGCTAAACAGGCAGGCCAGTATGTGTAGCCATGTACTCCTGTACAGTTTACCAATACTCAGTATTAATTGTGCATTTAAAGTGTGCTTTTTATTTGCACACCATGGAGCAAGCCATTTTGTAAGCTGGAACAGTTTGTCAGACACTCAAATATTTGGAACTATTGAGATAATTATACCAGTTGTGTCACTGGCTCCTAGTGAAATTGCCATTTTGTATCATAGTGAATAAGAATATAAGTGGTGGCCAACTTAAGTTGAGAGTTGTGCTTTAGAGTAAATATGTCATCCTGATAAATTAAAACTAAATTAAAAGTCCTTTCTTAGAACTGGTGTCTTCTATTGCCTTTTTTAAGCTGAAAACCTTCTTTTGTGACCCTAGAAGATCCTAGACCCATACTGTCACTGGTGTCATGACTTTTCTGACATCTGACATAAGAACGTTCCCTGAAAATGAACCCTTTCACTACTGCAGTCTGCTACTTAATTAGAGCAACGTAACTTGCTACCGAGGAGCGCTCATTGAATTGTGGGATGCCAGGTGGGCTTGTACCTATGCATGGGGCCTGCTCTAAGGCAAACATTTTGTTTTAAATCATTAGGAAGTCTGACTTTTTAATTTTAAAGCTTCCCTTTTAGGAAGCTAGCCAGCACAAAATAGGCATATAATGAAAAATGCATAAGCAGTGGTCATGCATGGTGAAAACTTAATGTCTGTAAAACAGTAGATCGACAGATACTGACAGATGAACAGATATGTAAAGCTTTACTTTTGCCTGCAACAATTAAACTTGGTCCCCCCCACCACCTCCAGAGTTTCCCTATTGTCAGTGACACCAACCATCACAGTAAGGGACCAATATATTTGCAGATGTCTGTATCTCTGGATCTACTGATTATTTTGACATGCTCATTTTAAATTGTAGTTAAAGACAGTTTACATAAAACATACACTTCAGGTATGATGCCAAAATAGTTGCCCCGCCACTCCAGATGCTAAGCCTCATCTCTTCTCCCCAAATTGAACACAAAGAAACAAGACAGAAATGTAGATTCTGAAACCTTCCTCAGTTTCTTTGGTGCCCCTAACACCAAGTATCAGCCAGGAGGCAATTTGAGAGCTTTGTCCCACACCTCCTTTTGGAGTGCACCACCTGAGACAAAATTATCTCCCTGCGTCTTTCTCCTTAAATTATCCCGCTACTGATAGCTCCTCTGTACTGACCTCCCACCACAATGGAGCCTCACTCCATCTGCTACAACTGTAGCATCCACCATAATTTAAAATAGGTGAAAATCTTACAGGGAAAGTAAGAGACCTACATGATGGCCCTGAAACTGGAAATTCAGATTCACGTTAGTTCTCAAGAGATGTACAGAAGCCAGTGGGTGGTTAAACCTACCCAAAAAATAAGTATCAGTTTTGTGTGGAGGGATCCTTTAAGGCTTGTGGCATTAATATGTTGTCACAAGCAGCTTTGAAATGATTAAAGTACACGTTATTCATGCTATTGGTTGTGGCAATACAAAAACAAAATGCATTTACATAGAAATATACGGTAGCCCTACAATTGTCATCTAATGGACCAAGCTCCTTTTTTTTGCAGTTTATAACATTTGCACATGTATTTATAACTTCATATCATTGGCTTAAAAGCCAGCTCCAACTCATAATAATAGATGGTGATAATCACATCAACCCCTTTCTTGGTGTATTTCATATTGTGTTCATGTAGATGGAACTCAGTACATTTTTTTAAATTATAGTTAATGAATTTTATTTTGATAGCCAGAATATTGCAGAATTAACCAAAGAGATCATTAAGATGAATGAGATAAGGACAGTACTTAACAAAGAGCAACTGTGACATCATGTGTACAACTATTCATTTAAAATTGTAATTATGTAGCAGAGTATTGTACAATGTTAGTCACTGATAACAAAAAGAACATTTATTAGTAAATTATACCATTGTATCAGTGTATTTAATCCCCAAAACAAAATGTATACACTGAGTGGCCAGATTATTATGACCACCTGACATTTGTAGGCAAATTAGCTATAATTAGCTATAACAAGTTAGTAAACAACTATTAGTAAACAACACGATTTAACAGCCTTTGAGCGTGGGATGATTGTTGCCGCTCGGAGCCATGGAGCGACTATCAGCAAACCAGCAAAATTAGTTAAATGTTCAAGAGCAGCTGTTGTTAAAGTGTTTAAAGACTGGACTGTCAGCCGAAAATCTGGGTCTGAACGTGCAAATTGTGGCCTCAGCGACTAGTCAATGTTAGGGCAGAACGGAGAGTGGCAAGACTGGTACAAGACAACAGAAGGGCAACAGTGCAGTTTCAGATTCCTCGCATCACCTTTCAACATCTCGTGGAGTCATGAGGCGGCCTAAGGAAGTCATTCCGTGGAGTCATCTCGTGGCCCAACGAAGTACTGATGGGGTGATCATAATAATCTGGCCACCCAGTGTATACATTTATATTACCAGTCCATAGATATGGTGGCAGCATT